CAAAAAAAAAAAGGTGCTACCAAAAAAAGAAACAAACACAAAAACCAAAAGAAAGAAACAGCTTGCTCACTTTAAGATAAAATTTTTGTGGTTTGGGAATAATATTTCCCATTTTAGTGTTTCCTGCTGGAACATCCCGGACCATGACCTCATCCCCTCCCCCTGCTGCAGGATAATGAGGAGAGTTGGGGAACAAAAGATGAAGATCCTGGGTTGAGAGAAAAATAGGTTACTAGTAACAGCAGTGAAATACAAGCATGAACAGTAACAACAATGCTAAGAACAGAATGTACAAGGCAGACAAACGTCTTGAACACAATTGTTTATCAAGTGCTGTGAACCCGAATAAAGGAAGCTCAAACCCCTCCCCTTCCATTCCCTGGGCATGATGTGAGGTGGTATAAAATAGTCCCAGGAACCTAGCTGCCCCTCCTGGCTGCTGCAAAAGTTAACCCTGTCCTGGCCATAACCAGGATAAAATAACAATTACTTGCATGGACAATTTCTCAGCTCCTATAAAGGGTTAGGAATATGTGATTTGTGTAGAGAATACTTGAAAGAAACCTCTCTGCAATATGGGCTGAAATATTTCAGAAATTGTCCTATGTGCCATGTATATGGCTAGTGCTGATTAACAGCTGGAATTTAAGACATCATGGGGTTATTAAAATGAAGCCTAGAGAGTAACGGTTTATATTTCGAATCCTGTAGTGAGAAGAATTTCATAATTGTGTTTTAATCCCAGCTTTCAGAAGCATCCCTCTTAAACTCCTACACCTTTCTTGCATTACTTCAGTTTCAATAACTGTTTGCTCTTCATTTGTTCAGTATTTTCCATCTAGGACACTTTTCTCAGTCTGCTTTTAATAAAAGCAGTTTTTTGTTGTCTTTTAACGCATTTCAGTAATATCTGCTTTATCATAAAATCCTGCTATCATCAGGATAAATAACAAAATTTTCAGTCCTGTGAATAAGGTTATGAAAATTTTTATGTATTCCTGTAAGAGTGCTGTGTGGCTTTGTATTATACTTGACTCAGAGAATTAGTAGGTAAAATATCCATAGGTCTAGTCTAAAGGAAGATGGTGCTAGGGAATAGGTAGATTGTATTCACTTTTAGCTACTGAAATTCATACTAGGTGTTTTTATAGAGTTCTGTGTTCTAGCCAAGGTGTCAAAACTACTACCAACTTCCCATGGTAACATAAAACAAGATCCTGTCATCACTAGAGTTGTTTTTTTTTAAAGTCCTCAAATAGATGTAATCAGCTTGGAGGCTTGCTTCTAAAAACTCTGCATATTCTTCAGTTATTTTGAAATGGGTGTGCTGCAATTCATTAATTTGTTACTGTGAAGGAGTCTGAATACAGGTCAGCATATCAATATTGTACTGGCAGTTGTGATTCTGAATCATAACCTGTTGACCGATAAAGAAAATAGTAAGTATTATTTTTCACACATCTAGAAGTATCCTGCCTTGGGCCTGTATAATTTTAAAAGATTGAAAAATGCATACCCTGCTTGATTCAACATCAGAGGCATCTACTGTAAATTGCACTGTGGCTGTTTTAATTAGCAACTGATGCATACACACTCGTTTATTCAGATTTTTAAGAATATACTTCCTGACTTGTTTCTCTTTCTTTCTAGATGAAGTGTTATCACAAAAAATACCGGTCAGCTACTCGTGATGTGATTTTTCGCCTTCAGTTTCACACTGGAGCTATTCAAGGACATAGCCTGGTATTTGGCAAAGAAGATTTGGACTGTGCCAATGAAGGTACTTTTCTTCTGTGGTTTGTTGAATGCACGTGCCTGTGCATGTGATGATCATCTTCAGCATGCTGTTTTCAAAAGGATTCTTGTTTCTTTTTTTTTTTTCCTTATTTTTAGGGAATGGGAGATTGTTTTGTCTTAGTTAACTTATAGCATGTTAAGTTACAGCAGAATATGCTAAATTAACTTACAGCAGAAAAGGTCTTCAAGTGAGTTAACTTGTCAAAATAATTGAGATACTCTTACATATAGTTCTTAACGTCTCCTCTCACATTTGTGAAACCAACAGCCATTTGTTTAAATGGTGACTCTTAGTCACCACTGAAGGAAGTAAGATGAGCTAAGCCAATCCCTTTTCTGGCTTATGAAAAGTGTCTTAAAGTCTGATACTGTGTATGTGACATAGTCTGCTTGAGTATGGAGATCTTTTAATATGTTTCAGAATATTCAAAAATTGATACAAAGGTTTCCTACTTGAAAACATGTTGTGCTGGTCCTCGTATTTTCCAGATTATAACATCAGCTTTATTCTTATGTTTATATGCACGATTGCAACTCACTCACCCTACATTACTAGCAAATTCAAATCAAACAGGTTTTCCTGCAACATAGAACATATGGCTGTGCAAAAGTCTTGTGGTCAAGAATTGCAATTTAGTCAATGTAGGGAACAATTTTAATTTTTCTGGGTGTGTTTTCTTTAAAAGCCAAAGCCCAGCCATGTCTGTATAGAGAGAGGGCTGGGAACTGTATGTCTCTTCTGCTTTTGACTGTTCTTGAAAATAAACAAAACTCCAGCTGGCACTTATGTGGTCTTTTCTGGAGAATGTGTGGTGCAAAGAATGTGGCTTTTAAAAGTAGATCGCTAAACTGCAAGTGAGAAGGGAAGAGTGATGAGGGTATGTGTACAGATAGCTATAGAGAATCCTGATTTCTGAGTGCTCTGGAACTACTCTCCTGGGATATAGAATTTCAGCAAGTTATCCTTTGTTTTCAGATGACCGTTTCCCTGGTTACAGCAGAGTGGAATTAGTGTTTTCAGGAACTCCAGAGAAAATTCCAGGTGAGTATACAGAAGAAAAATTATGCTTAGTTTGAAAAGAAATGATACTGATATACACATTCTATTAAAAAATCCTTTTTTTCCTCTTATTCCACTTCTCTTCTAGAAGATCTGAAATTTGACTTTATTGTTAAAATGGTTTAAATTTGAAAAAGTTAGTGAAGACTACATTTACATCAGCATAGGGAGGGATCAGATTTTGTTTTAAAGCTATACCAGAACAGTTGCTGACAATAAGTAGAAAACATTTGTATGTCTGTGTAAAGGATAGTATAGGTAGCTTGGCTTGGCATAAGTGGCAGCAGTGGCCTATACTTTGTTGGATGTTGTCACAACTGATTATGTTTGCAGTGGTGAAGTTTAGACTGTCTTCAGTTTAGCATAGAAAGATACAGCTATAGTTTTGTGGGAAATGCTTCTGCTTTGAAGTTGACTTGCAGGATATATCCTGTATGCTTCCAGAATTCTATTTTAATATGTTTAGGGTTATTTGATTATTACAATTTGCAGTAAGAACTTAAGACCATGCTTTGTGTTGCAGTTTAATTCTGTGAATGAATGTCTTAGTCATGTTTTGGTGTTCCAAAAATTGTGGATTCTGCCTGAGACTGAATGAAAACCAAATACTTTTAACTGTCTGTCTCATGCATTCCCATTCAGTGTCCTCAGTGTCCTGTGAATTGCATGTTTTCACTCCCCCCCCCCCCCCGAGTTTGATAATTTATAAACTTATGGCAGCAGCCAGTAAGAAGTTGAATTTTGTCCAACTGAACACAAATATTTCACTTAGCCTGTTGGAAAGCCATATAAGAAAAACAGTTTTATAAATAAATATGTCTAGCTTGTTCTAAACATTTCTGGTTAGTAAATGCTTGAAAGAGAGGCCAGCTGACATGTCTAAAACAAGAAACAAATTTTTTTCAAGTTTCCCTTCCTTAGATGGCAAATGAGGTGTGGGTTTTCTACTAGGCTTCAAGCTGTTGGAAAGTAAGTTTCTAAATAATTGGATATTTTTATTTAATTGCTGTCTAAGGAATTAACCGGCTAGGAAGAGCTCACCTTGAAATACTTACAATTTCTGCAAAATAACTTTTCCACATCTGAAAACGTTATGGAAGAACTACAGGGTATCTCTACTCCATCCTCCTGCCAAAAGTAGACCCATTTGTGAGATCAAACCAATTGCCCAGAGCTTTGTCCAGTCAAATCATTAAAACCTTCAAGGATGGCGATGCCACAGCCTCAACGGGTAGACTATTCCAATGTCCAACAGCCCTTACAGGGGATTTATTTTTTCCTTATATTGACTGTAAATTTGTCTAGGTTCAAATTTTTGCCTGTTCCTTGTCCTTCTGCCTTGCTCCCACCTAGCTCTGTCTCCTCCATGGCTTTTAGGTGGCTACTGTCAGGTCAAGACCATCTCATCTTCAGGCTGAAGAAGCCCTGATCCCTCAGCCTTTTCCTCACAGGGAAAGTCTTTCAGTCCTGACCACCCTGGTGTGTTTCTTGTATTCTGTAGCTTGAAACTGGACACACTGTTCTAGGACATTAGTGACACAGTGATACAGTTTCTAAGAAAGAATGTGGTTGCAAAGAATACAAGACCCCTAAATGTTTAGGTACTAAACATCATAAGTCTGCCTTGTGACAAATGCCATCACAGCATCTCTCAACAGACAGCTTTTTCAAGCCTGCATGTAAAGGTACAGGACCATAGCATTCTTCTCCTAATTTTGAGTATCCTTGTTTTAAAAGTCGTAGCGTGTGCACAGCACTGTTGCTTTAGAACAATTTATAATAATGAATTTTGAGTATCCTTGTTTTAAAAGTCATAGCGTGTGCACAGCACTGTTGCTTTAAAACAATTTACAATAACACTTGCTTCTCCAGACACAGCCTAAGAGTTGATAACTGAGGATTTGTTTCCTAATCTAGATAGAGGAGGAGAAAAGACAGAATTTCTATGTGATTTGTATCAGTATCACAGTTCAAGGTCTTGAATTCTTGATGCCTGTGCTTTCCTTTTGAATCATGGGACCACACCTAAATTCCTCATGGTATCCGTTTAAAACCTGAATATTATCTGATGCCTCGTTAAAGGCACAAAACCATGAGTTACTGCTGAAAATTCCAGGTATGTTTGGCAGAGGAAAACACATTGAAGGCAAGCTGTCCAGTCTCAGGTTCTGCATAGCTGGCACCTTTGGGGAACTGGAAGGGACACGGAGTGGCAGTTTTCATCACTCTCTGCCCTTTCTTAGTGATAAATTACTCTGGTATGAGAATGATAATCTGTAACCAAGTCTAATTTTATCATTCCTTTAGTACAATCTCTTTGTAGATATTTGTGGTTTCATTCTCAAAAACTGTTTGTTTTATTGTGCCTGACCCCGTAGGGCTGGGTTGGATCATCTGTGTTAGTTGTGTTTAGGGGCTGATCCAAGTTATCAGCCTACATCATAATCAAGAAGTTTGAGATTAAGTTCTCTGATTGAACCTTCTGTAAAAACCCGCAAATTAAGCTCTTTTTTAAGCTGTTTTATTTAACCTTTCTTCCCCTATTGCTGCTTCTTACATTTCAGAATGTTATTGCCATTTGGGGAGTAAACTTCTATTAGAAGGCCATAAACATACACAGAGCCATAGAATATTAGGGTGTTGGAATGAACCTTGAAGATCATCTAGTCCCAACCCCCACTGCCATGGACAGGGACACATCCCACTAGACCAGGATGCTCAAGGCTGTATCCACCTTGAATATCATCTCGTCCCACCCCCCACTGCCATGGACAGGGACACATCCCACTAGACCAGGATGCTCAAGGCTGTATCCAGCCTGGCCCTGAACACTGCCAGGGTTGAGACATCCACTGCCTCCTTGGGCAACCTGTTCCAGTGTCTTACCACCCTCACAGTAAAAAATTTCTTCTTAATATCTAGTCTGGATTTCCCTTCTTTCAATTTATACCCATTATTCCTTGTCCAATCACATCCCACTAGACCAGGATGCTCAAGGCTGTATCCAGCCTGGCCCTGAACACTGCCAGGGTTGAGACATCCACTGCCTCCTTGGGCAACCTGTTCCAGTGTCTTACCACCCTCACAGTAAAAAATTTCTTCTTAATATCTAGTCTGGATTTCCCTTCTTTCAATTTATACCCATTATTCCTTGTCCAATCAGTACAGCTCCTAATGAAGAGTTCCTCTTCCCTTGTAGGCACCCTCACAGTAAAAAATTTCTTCTTAATATCTAGTCTGGATTTCCCTTCTTTCAATTTATACCCATTATTCCTTGTCCAATCAGTACAGCTCCTAATGAAGAGTTCCTCTTCAACTTCCTTGTAGGCCCCTTCAGATACTGGAAGGTTGCTATGAGGTCTCCACACAACCTTCTCTTCTCCAGACTGAACAGCCCCATCTTTCTCAGCCTGTCTTTGTAGGGGAGCTGCTCCAGTCCTCTTACCACCTTCATGGCCTCATCTGGACTTGCTCCAACAGTTCCATGTCCTTATGTTGGGGACACCAGAACTGTATGCAGTACTGCAGGAGGGATCTCACAAGTAGAGGGGGGAAATCATCTCCTTTGACCTGCTGGCCACACTCCTTTTGATGCAGCCTAGGATTTGGTTGGCTTTCTGGGCTGTGAATGCACACTGCTGGCTTGTGTTGAGTTTTTCCTCAACTGTCACTCCGAAGTCCTCTGCAGGGCTGCTCTCAATCACTTCTCTGCTCAGCCTGTAGGTGTGTCTGGGATTGCTGTGACCCAGGTGTAGGACCTTGGGCTTTGCTTTGTGGAACTTCATGAGGTTTGCATTGGCCCATGTCTCAAGCACTCCAAATGGCATCCCTTTCCTCCAGCATGTCGACTGCACCACACAGCTTGGTGTCACCAGTAAACTTGAAGAGGGTGCACTTGGTCGCTCTGTCAATGTGTGTACAATTATGCATATGTATGTAGTTACAAATGTGATTATGATGATTTCTGGTATCAAACAAATTTATTTTTTTTTTAGGATGTGAACACTTTCAGAATGATCACGGAGTAATAGTTGATTACAATACTTCGGACCCACTAATACGCTGGGATTCCTATGAAAATATGAGCCCTGATGGGGAAGGTGAGTAATTTGGTCACATGAGACCAAGGCAAAATCTTTTGCAAATGTTCCAGAGTGTTTGAAAGGAGAAAGGAGACCTCATTTGCTTGAAGATAATGCCACTTTACTGATGTGTTACGTAGCTGTCTAGCCTTCCCTGTTTAGCTTTAGTGGCTCTAATTTAGGAGAGAAAGCTGTAGTAGTTAAGAGAGAGATTCTTGTTAATGCACAGAATTGGACTGAGACACAACCAATTGATACAAGTTACTTTATTACTTGTAAATTTGCTTGAAGACTTCATATTTTGTTTTAAAAATTCTAGTTGGAATCCTAATACACAATTTTAAGCATAAAATGGTGAGTTTGTCTCTTTCTCTTGCTATGTTACCTGGAGTATTGCAGGAGGTGCACTAGGCTGTTAAGGATAAAAAAACAGCAAAGGGTGTGCCTATCTGCATATCTCCCCTCATAAATTTACCTGTTTCAAAGCTTTTTTTTTCTGTAATCTGCTCTTGCATGCAAAAGATGAAAACCTTCAGTAGCTGCCCTTAGATTCTGACTCCAATGTGGAGGCTTTTTTGGCATTTTGCTGGAGTGAATGCTGTGCTTTAAATGGATATAGTTTTTGTCTGAGGACTCAATGTCACACCTGTGTCTGCACATCACAGTGTACATGCAAGCCTGACATTGTTCCAAATAAAAAAAGAAGGTATTGAATGGTTGTCAAAGTTTTTGTTTTTACAACTCTCCTGTTACTAAATGAGAGACAGACAAAGCTAGGATACTTGCTGCTCTCTAGGCTCAGTTTCCATTGATTTATATAATCTGAATTCAGCATTGACCATCTAGTGTCCACATCAGTGAGGGTTTTAGGGGCAGAAGCATAGTGAGAGCTTGGATCTTTTTTCCACTGTTTCTCTTTTGTACAGGAATGTTTTCAATGCATAGCAGACTCCAATCTGCAGAAAACTAGGGTGGAAAGAGAGTAGTCTTTTGGTGCCTTTACATGGGGCAGGTAGAGCAGTCCACAGGGAGTCATGAGACGTTTAATAGTTTGATAAGACTGTGCAGTCATACTTAGAAGGAGTAGTATCAGAGAGACTGAATCTTTCTTGACTGGAAGTGATATTTCAATTTCTATCCAGGATGTTTCCATATCATTTGTGCTTCCTTTCCCTCCCTTCCCCTGACAACCATTTCCACTTCCTTTGTATATACATAGCCCTCAGCAAGCAATGCATTGATGTCAAATATTTTTTAATTGCTCAGATTGATTTGCTAGATGGACTTGACCTTCCCATCCTCGTGCGTTGCAATGTACATCAGCACAGGAAATTGAAAGCAGAGCTAAATGTGCAGGCAGCACTCTGTTGGAAGATACAGAACTGTATCCCACGCATGTCTCCTGGAAGAGTTGACCAGAGACCATTCACAAATACAATTAGCTTATTTGCCTGATGTTCAAAAGTCAGATGTACCACTTATTAGGCTTTTATATGTAATTCGTGTGCATGATACAATTTTTATTACCTGAGATAGAACAGAAATATGACCTGTTAGCACAGATATTGAGAAGCTCATTGTGCAAAGAATTCACTCGAGTAGAAGCTAGAGAACCTACTCTAAGAATGAGATGTATCCAGTTACTCTTTTCTTAAGTAAACATCTACCCTCTGATAATTCAACAATGGAATTGCAGGCAGAGCATCTACATAGGCTGGGCAAAAGATCATGAGGCACTAAAGCACATACACATGGGACAGCTATAGTTTTCTCTGAAGGATGAGACCTGTACTTAACACAAAGCTAAGCTTAGTCTGCTGCTTGTGGTAAACATAGTTCACTTTGGTCATCTTCTATGTAAGATTTATAAATGCTAGGACAGACTTTGTTTTGTGGTTTGTTCAGAGGTTCAATATTGTGTTTTTTTATTAAAAGGGTGTATTGAGTCCTAGTTTTCACTACAGGTGAGAGACCACTAAGAGGAGATGCTGATTTCACATCCAGAAAGTGATCTAAGTCACCTTAAAATCTGAAGCCTTTAGCTACAATCCTGAAGGCTGAGAGAGAATCTTTTCTGTCCTTATGTCCTTCAACATGTGGTGCATTTGAAACTCTGCATAACGGTGGTATGTTTAAGATGCAGGGAAGTCTCACACAGAGTGCCTGTTTCAGATCCACTTCATTGAAGTTAAACTCTTAGCCTTCTGCAGGAACTGGTCTTCATGGTAGCCACAAATGTGTGATATCTTCTAATATCAATATCTCTCTTTATGACAAGTAGTTTTGAAAAAAAAAATCCCCTACCCCCACTACAGGGATGAGGTAAATGGAAAAGGTTTGACTTGCCTTTTGTAGAGGGTTATTTTTTTAGTTCTTGGTGATAATTTTCAGGATTATTACTTGGCGTAGT